AAAACCCGGTGAGGAAGAAGAAGAAACTGGAAAGAAAACTTTTAGTTGTCTGCTGAGGGATAAGTTCTTAGAACTTTTCACTCCTTGAAGTCAATCTGTTGCTGTAAGAGGACAGAACTAGTGGTACAAAGACTGGCAAGAGCCTGGGGGATGCTCTGCCATCGGCTGGGGCCGAGGGGCTCAGGGAGATGTGCTCTCCACTGGAGGCACCTTGAGGGGGATTGACTGAGGGTGTGGTGCTTACAGGTGTAATAAGAGCTGATGAACCTCGTGGGGATGCTCTCATTCAAAGGTAAACTGTCTCTTTTTGCCCAGTTCTCCAGAAGATTAAAGCCTGCTTTACCTCTGACTGAGAGGGCTTAAGTGGGCTCAAATCTGCAAGCCGTAAGCTCTTAGTTCTGACTGTGGGACAAAGATGCTGGTTTGGCTTTCAGGGGAGCAGAAATAAATCAGAAATAACGAAACTCCTAAGTTCTGACTCGGGCTGGTGTAATAACTTGCTGGGCAGAGCTAAAATAAACGTGTGTCTGGGCCTTAAAAGTCCTGTTGTTCATCTGCTGGAGCGACGGCTGGCATAAGGAACTGTATTGTGTGAAGAGTTAGAGAGACAAGCTCCAAACGGCTCCAGGGAGTTGGGATAATGGCAGCAGTGTAGAAGGAGCTCGTTGCTGGGGTTGAATAGGGGGGTTTGCTTCCTGGGCACTAACCTTTCTCCCTATTAATTCCTTGACATGGAAGGAATGAATAAGATTCCCACAGAATGGCTCCTTTATGCGGCTTTAGGAACTTCGTTAGGAGAAAAGGAACAGTGTTGTCCCTAAAGCCACTTCGTTACTGTTGGCTTTACAATGGGACTTCTGCCTGAAATGTCCCTGTCTCCTGCCTCACTTCCTGCTGGAAACTTAGCAAAACAATGGACGTTTCACGGGAGATGTATGGCCCTGCATTTCATCAGCGGGACGTGTCAGGCAGAGCTCATTTATCTGCGGGAGAGGAAGGGCTTCACCCTCTCGCCATGAGCTGGTGCTTTTTCTGAAGCAGTTTTAGAGAGTAAATGAACGTGCATGGCCGGGAAAAGCTGTGCCTGTGGCCACAGATTTATTAAAAATTCAATTATTCAGAGGAAATAGGAACAGAAAGGAGCACCTTGGAAAAAACTGATTGTTTTCGCTGAATGGCAGGAAGTTGCGTGTGCTGGACTGGATGTTTTTTTTTCCACCTTTTTTCAGTTGCCATCAAAGCTTGGGCAAAGAGCAGCCCTTAGCCAGGACTTTCCCAGTTGTTGTGATGCCATGGATACCTTTACCAGTGACAGGGAGTCTTCTCTGCCTTAATTATTCTCGAATTTTATGCCTATTAAAAGCACATTCGCACCTGAGAGAATCGTGCTGTGAAAGATTAAAGTTTGGAGAGTATGAAACTAATTAAAAGCAGTGATGTGAAGAACGAGGAGATAATAAAGAGTATTTCAGACAGGAACATGTCTTGTCCTTGAAGGGTTCCTTCCCAGTGAAAGTTGGGCAGTGAAACAGTGAAATTGCTTGATTTGAGTGCAATAAAGTTTTGTAATCTCTAATTCTTTGTCATTGGCTGGCTTATAGAGTCACTAATGGCGTTGCACTTGCAATCCAAATACTCAGGGTCAGGATTTAAATTCACATTTAAAGATGTAAACAAAGATGTAGGACACGTGGGCTTCCTCAGCAAGAGGGAGACGTTTTGGAGGGAATGCTGAAATGTTATTGCAACAGTCGAGAAACACAAATAAAGTTGGTTCTGGGTGAAGCCAAGAGACAGAATTTCCTTACAGAGAAAGTACTGATGCCTGAAAGGACTCATGGAATTTCTGAGGACAGCAGGAGAAACAAGAAGCATATTTAAAAATAGATTGTGTCAAAAGTAAAAATAACCGTGGGATACTTATCTAAAATAAGAGAGGAATTTTTTTTTTTTTTTTGTCCCCCACCAGAAACTTCCTGTCCTGTTCCCAACACTCTGAATCAAATGCCCACCAGAGAGACTGTCAGCTGTTCTTCTAAGAAAAAAAACGTTGAGATAAGCTTTCCCAGAATGTCACAATTTTAACAGAACTGAAAATGCATTTTAAAATTCTAGTTTAATATTTTAATAATTTAATGACGGCGTTTTAAGGGTTCGACATTTTTAATGTTGAGGGAAATATAAAAGTACTAAAATCGAAGTGATTAAGTGTGATTCACTCCATCAGTAAATTATTTATGGCATCATAATAGTGATGGGAGCTTGCATCACTGATGATAGATATAATGAGACCACTAATCTCCTTTAATTCACTGCAAGAAAAGCTGAAGTGTTTGAATATACATACAGTTAATTTACATGTTATAAATTGAAAGAAATAGGACTTTATTAAGCACCGAGGTGTATTTCCCCAAGCAGTTTTTCCAGTGCATAAATGTATTTATTCAGTGCACGTAGCCTCGAGCCCTGTATATCTTTAGACATACATTAAACTCTGTTACTATAAGTAATGAAGTCAAATTACTGCACCAGCATGTGCAGTAACCCCAGTGCAGCCAAACTCACAGAAGGAGCGGTAGTGTTGATCCGAAAAGCGCCCCAAGATGACTCAAAAAATTGTGTCATATGGTACACTTGGAAAAGGGGCAAAAACCTGGCAGTTAAAAATGTGGGTTTGAAATTCTGATAGTTCTTATCGTCTTGATTGGCTTCCAGAGGTGTCCAAGCACTTTTCAGCTAAGTGTGAAAAAAGGAGAGGGAAAAACTTGCAAGCAGAAAAGAATATTCGGCAGCTTGAAAATACTGTTCCCTAAAGTGGTGTCTTGAGAAACCCCCAAATGTTAAATTAAGAAGTTCATAAAAATTGCCTTTTGATAAACTCGCTTCTTCCAATTAATAGTCCTGCTTTTACCTCTTTATCTTCAAAATTAGGATCCCATAGTGTTTATAAAGGTTTCACAGCAGTTGCTAATTGATTTATAAAGATGTTTAAGCGAAAAAAACTGGAAAATCGTTATCTCAAGTTGTATTAAAATCTGAATCCAGTTGTTTAGTATAAGAAAATCTTGTGTGAATTCCTAATTTCTCATCACCCTCCATTCCCTTGGAAGGCACTTCAAGTTCTGTATGAAGAAGACTCGCAAAATAACAGACTGTGACACAAGGGCTGAACTTACTGGCACCTGTATTTGTGTGTATATATATTACATACGTTTATATTACATACATATATATATATTACATATATAAAAATATAAAGTATAGGAAGTATATATATGGAAACCCAGCAAAATGTATGTAAATACAGGAATAAATTCTATACCATTTATATGCACATATTATAATGTAATATGTATAATTATATGTTATAAGTGTATATATAGATACAAAATGTCTATATCTACATGTGTATAAAATATCTATATAAAACATGTGAGCAGCACATTGGCCTAACAAAGTCGATTGCTGTTTAAGTCCTGTCCTCTGCCAAGCTGGAATTCCCTTTCCTGGGAGGATGAACTCTGTCCTAGCAGGGAGCACTGTGATTTACGCTGAATTCCTGTGCTGCTCCTTCGATCTCGGAACAAGCTGGAGCATTATTTGACTGTGCAAAGAGATGAATGACTGTTTTGATGTTGAGGAAAGTCTTTAAGCGTTCTGGCAGGGAGAATTCCCGGCTTTGACAATGCTCCAGGCAAAACGGGAGCGTGGTTCCACACAGAAAGGGCTGGATTTACGACTGGATGTGTCCCTTGTCATCTCCTGCATAAAGCTGGGTGATGCGAAGCTCGATCTCGCGTTTCACGAGGCAGTGTGAAGAAATAAAGTGCAGCCGTGGTCAGGAGTGAAAGAAGAAACAATAAATTTCCAGGTTTCTCCCCTCAAACGTGAACTGTGGACTTTCAACACGGGAGAGAGAGAAGAACAGGAGATTAAGGGAGGGAGAAATCGTGTTCAACCTTACACATCTTAACCAGCCTGACCAAATTTCACGGTGATCGTTAGTTGCAATTGACTAAAATCCATTTTTGAAGGACTTTTTTTTTTTCTTTCTTTCTTTTTACCAGAAGGTAAAAATTTTATCCCATTGTGCTATGGTCTCACAATCCTACATAGCTAATCTAAGTTCCCAGTGAACTTAAAGCTCCTTCAGTTAATGAGTCACAGACTAAGTGAAAGAGTACAGGAAGGCTTGGCGCCGATCCTGATCCTATGCTGGATCCTTCTTGCACAAGAACCGCGGCCAAGAGGAAAGGACTCTCAGGACTATTTTTCCAGCCCTGCCCACTGTGCTGTCCTCGGACCAGGCAATCCCGAGGGACAGCGCCGGAGGCACAGCGGGGATGAGAAGGGCAGATGGCAGCGAAGCAGCAGGAATTAGGAGGGGAGAAGGCGAAGGCTCGAAGGGACGGCACAAGGTCACCGCGGCGGCTCCCGCTGGGAACTTCAAACAGTCCTGGCTAAAATAAATATCCCCACCACGTTCCGCCAGCGCTGTCCTGCACCTGGACACACCTGGATGTGTCCCCTGCTTCCCGAGGTGACCCTGGAGGTGGCCGGAGATCCCCTCATCATCCCCGCGAGGTGACCGGAGCCTCTCGAGGTGACCCCGAGGTGTCCTGCGGGGACACACCTGGATGGAGGTGACTCGAGCCCCTCCCTGAGGTGACTGGAGAGCCCATCCCGAGGTGTCCCCACAGTGCCCGATCCCCCCCATCCCGAGGTTGTTCCCCCACAGTGTCCGATCCCCCATCCCGAGCCGTTCCCCCTCAGCTGCCCCTCAGGGAGCGCGCACCGGCCGCGCGGGCGCGCGCGCCAGCCCCACCCCTCCCAGCCCCGCCCCGTCCCCCCTTTTCTGAGGAAGCGGCGTTGATTGACAGCCTCGGGAAGCCAATGGGAGCCCCGGCGCGGAGCGCGCTCAGCCAATGGGGCGGCGGCGGGGCGGGGCGCGGCGGCGCAGGGCGGGCGGGGGCGGCAGTCGCGGCGGCGGCGCCGAGCGGAGCGGATCGGATCGGAACGGAGCGGGAGCGGGGCCGGAGCGCAGCGCTGGGGCCCGGCCGCGTCCGCCGCGCTCTCCCCGTCCGGTCACACGCCCGCACATCCCGCGACCCCCACCGGGCACAGCGCGCGGGCGGCTCCCGGCGCTGCAGGTGAGGCTGGAGCTTTGGCCGGAGGTGCAGGCCGGGGTTGCGGTCCGTGGCGGGCGAGGGGTCCGGTCGGGCCGCGCCGGGCCGGGCGGGGAGCCCCGGGGACCCCGCGGCGGGGCCGGCGGAGGGGCCGGCGCTGCCCTTGCGGAGGGCGCGGGGAAGGTGAAGCTCTCCTTGCACGGCGGGCAAGGGCAGGGCTGGGGCCGGCGGGGGATGACGACACCGGCTCGGTTCCTGTAGGAGGGCAGAGCTCGGCGCTCGCCGAAGTTTGGTGACCCCCTCGGACGGCGCTGCCTTCGGGAGGGGGGCGCGGGGAGAGAGGGCGAGGATGGAGCCCTTGCACTCCGGCGGGTGGGTTTTTCCTGCCGGCGGCGAAATCCCTGGGTGGTGAAGTCACCCACTGGCAGGTGATGGTGCTGGGTTGGTGGGAGGAGGTGTTTCCAGGGGGGACAGGGATGTTTTAAGCGGCTCACACCCCTCCGAGTGCCAGAATGACCCAGCCGAGCCAGGCTTCTCGGTCTTGCCGTTGCCGCCTTCTGTCTGGACTTTTCCCTTTTTTGGCTCGTGGAAAGAATCTCCTCATCTCCCGAAACCGTGGGAGAGACAGACATCCCTTTATGTGCTCCGGGGCTACCTGGTCGGGGAGGGACAGGGTCTGTACAGTGCTGGCTGTATGGATCCGTCCCAGCTGCCGGGCTGTCCGGGGCTGCAGTGACTCTGAAGCTGATGGATTCACTCCTCGGAGAGATTCAGCCTTCTGAGCCTTCCTTCACCCTTTTGCCCTCTCGGCAAAGGAAGCCAGGAAGATGCAGTGCTGCCCTTTGCAAGCTGAACCTTTGGAAACTCAACGTAGCCTTGCAATTTTGAACCGTCGGCTTACTTATTAAATTGTTAAGACAATTTAAAACCAGTGCACCGATCTGTGTAAGTTTGATCCTTTCCACCTGACCCAGACTGGGGTGAAAAACGAGCCTTTGGATGTGTTACTTTTGTTCTCTTCTGTTGTGCTCCACGACCTCCAAAAGGCTTCTTAAAAGGTTGCCACGAGACTCTTTCCTCTTGCTTTTGTAGGGAGGGGGGGGGGGATCCCCTTCTGCTAATTTTGATCTAATTCCAGCGTTTGTTCAGCCCTTCTCTAAAGACAAAACCTTCCCCCTGCTTTTAAAAGCTAAAACAATGATAGTGCATTTATATACAGTTACAGTGAAGACTGCATTATGTAAACAACGGGGTTTTAGCGCAACAAAAGGATCGTTCTCGCGTGTCTGTGGCACGGGACTGATAGAAAAACACCGCTTGGTCGCTTCCTTGGGCCAGGGGGACACACAGGACACGACGACTTCAAGGTGAGAGTCACCTCAAACTGTATTTCGGATGGGCACAACTCCTTAATTGCATTCCTCACTATTAAGGTTGTTAACACTGAGGGCTAATGTGCTGACTCCTCTATACCTGTACCTGCCTGAAGTGGTGTTTTGTCAAACTTGTATTTTGCCTTCCAAGATAATAGTTAAATTCTGCCAGCTCTGACTGAGTCAGCTTGAAAAGGAGCGTGTGTGTCTTGTTTAGCCCAGTGCAGCAGCATTTTGGAGGTCTCTGATCATGACAGAAGCACAGCTTGGGTATGGCGAGCAGGAGTGCAGGTGCTGTTCTCTGTCCAAGTAAGGAATTTACAGATCTGGAGTCGATTATTTTTTTTCGTTGTTGGCTCAGGTCAGTGTGTTGTGCAGTGCCACAGCAGAATAAACATTAAAAACTGCCCTGGGGTTTGAACTGCATACCACACATGGAGCAACAATTTTGGTGTTGAAAGAAAGCACAAATGATTAAACAGTTTATTAAGGGTTGATAGGCAAAACTGGTTGGGATTTTTTAAAATTGATTTCTTTTTTTACTCTCATTTTAAGAGGGTGTGCTGCAAGTGGGTGCAGTAATTAACATTGAGCTGACAAATTAGATGGCATTTATGATTGCCAGGCTTGGGGTTTGCTGTGTGGATGGCCTTAAGTGTTCTTTCACTTTTTTTTTTTTTTTTTAAACTGTCACAGGGTCATGAGGAAGCTTCTGTATTCCATAAGGCACCTCTGCAAGAAAAGCTTGATTTTACTTCGTGGTATATAATTAATTGCATTTTTCTACTTGTTCTTATTTATGCCTTTGAAGCACTGTCATAGTGAGGTGACTTTCTGACTGTGATCATTGTGATCTACGAGTGTTTTTAAACAACACCTCCAGAAAACACCCAGATGACATATTTCTTCTCAGGGGCAGATGTCTGCTTTCAAATTTTGTGTCAAGGCACTTGAATGTTGGTCTGAAAAATCAGTGTGGTGAACTTGTTATATTTGACGTGTTTGGATGATTTAGAGTAGGTCATGAGAAGTTCTTTGCTCGTGGTCTGTCTGCACAACATTGTTGGGTGCCTTTTCCTCCTCTAGAGCTGAGTGAGCCCCTTGCTTCAGGGTGGCCAGCTGTCCATTCTGTGCTTAAAATGAGCCTAAAGGCTCCTGCAGCTTGGAGTGGGGCAAGAAATTCCTGTGCTCCTTGCAGGAGCTGGAAGAGGATAAAATGCTTAGCAGGGCTGCTGCCAGTCACAAACTGCCTGTGCTTGTATGAGTCTGTGGGAGTAATACAAAGTAGCTAAAAGTAATAAAAAAAAAAAAAAAAAAAGGTGAAAACTAGCTAATTCAGCTTTCTGTTCTGAGTTGTTGAATGTTTTTCTCAATGTGGGAATAGCAGATCCTGGAAAAAGTGCACCTTCTCATCCAGTGAGCCAGGAGAACAGTAGATGCAGATGGAAGAGTTGGTTGGTGTTTTTTTTTTTTTTTTTCCTTTAATGGAGTTGTTTAAACATGCAGGTAAACTGATAGATTCGTGTCTTTTTGGTTCCTGGAATCTCTGCTTTTTTAAAAAAAGTAATAAGATTTAATGACTTACTTGTTGCCTGGAATGAAGTCTCTCTAATGCTTGAACTGAAGAGCAGTCTGTGAGATTAACAACTTCTTTGTAACACAGGATTTAATTCCAGTTCTGTCTTAATCCCCAGAACTTCAAGAAGGGCCATTGTTCCTTTCAACCTAACCCCAGTGAGTGATTTTTGGCTTGACTTAATGTAATGATGGATTGTTCCCAGGAGATGAAAAGGAAGAAAGCAGGAAATAACAGTGATGTAACTGTCCCGAGATAAACCAATTTAAGGATTCCGAGTCTGTGGTTGAATAAATGGCATATTTAATTACTAGGAATGTTACCTGGCTGATTGACCCATGGGGGTTGAGAGGAATAACCTGGAGCTGATGGTAAATTCTGTTGTGTTCTGGGGTCTACAGGTGTGTCACAAGACTTGAGCGTTGGTCCTTTGTGTCTTCTCCAAGGTGCCTTTCTTGGGGGAAGGGAACAGCCCAGATTTCTCTGATAATGTTGGCCCTTGGAGTGTGGGTGATTCTGCTGAGCTGGCGTGTGTGGGTAGAGTCCTGTGATCCTCGGTGGACAGGATGTGTCAATATTTGAGCAAGTACCAGCCCTAATTAGTAAATAGGGGTAGAAGTGGCCTGGCTGTGGAAACCCTGCACAGAAACGGGCTCTGAGGCAAAAAGAAAACGTCCCTCAGGCTTCAAATACCGCGGTTTGGTTCAACTTTTTAGAACGTGCAAATATTTAAAAGCTGCTCCAGAGTACAGGAGGCATTGTAAATATTTTGGTAATAATGGAAACCTGTGTTGTGCATTGTTTGGCTTTGGGCCAATGCATGTTGTTAACCCTTTTTTGGACCCTGCTTTGGGTTAAGAATTAATTCCAAGGCGTCCCCAGACCAAATATTTTAAACAATCTTTTGTCACAAACTCTAAGCCAGCGAATGGCAAACCAGAGTTCAATATAAGAGCAAAAATGGTGGGGGCAGTGCTGCTTTCTGGTTGGGAGAAATGGTAGCTCGGTGATAATATTGATAACGTGTCAAATGCCCTCGTGGTGAATGTCACTGTTACTGGATGTTCAATTCCACACCGGTGTTAGAGCTGGGAAAGGGAGACGTGGGACACAAAGGATTCCATGATAACGTGGCATTTTCCTTGGAGCGGCAGCTTCAAGGAGCAGCTGAGAGCTCTGTGTTGTGGGGTGTGTGTTGGTGGTCTCTGTTAGATACCAGTTGGAGCTGTTGGGAGGTGTTCCAGAATGTCTCTGGAGTGTCAGTGTTCTTTAAACCTGCTGATATTTCAAATATTATTGCAGAAGTGTCACCACTCCTTTCTTGGCCACTTAGTCCTCTCCACCTGCATTATAACCCCACGCAAACTGTTCACTCACAGGACACCTACAGTGAATTTCAGTGGGTTTAAAAGGGCTTGAGGCAAAAATTTAATCTCTTACTTGTGTGCTTGCACATTAACAATCAAAATACCTTTTTTCCCCCCATCTTTTCAGGGTTTGTGTGTTGTCTGTGCACTTGCTTGTCCCTGGTGTTAGCAAAGCATCTTGTAACTTGTAGCACTTTGTGCTCACCACTGATAATCAGTACGTAATAAAGTAAGGGAAATGAAGTGTGTATTAACACAGTTTGTACACAAAATTGTTACTCAGCCTGGCAGCTGAAGTTGTGCTACATGAGCTGCGCAAATACAACTTACTGTCTCAAGACTGTCCCCTCAAACTCTAAATAGAGTTAAGCAAACTGAAGATGTGCTTAAATTTATGGTCTGTGATTTTTACCAATTTTAAGTGCATGGTTGAATAGATAAGTATCAAGTCATCTTAAATTCATAAATTTAAAGGTGAACTTGCTGTTTATTTCTTGTGTTTTTGCTTAAAGCATTTCAGTGTGGAAGGAGCAGGAGACAGTTGAAAGAGATTTTAAAGCTGAACAAGTTCCAAGTAGAAAGGAGTCAAAAGTCCCTGTCTTTTAACTTTTCGAATACTCACTAGTAGGTGTGTCTAAGGTATAATGCTGAGATTTATTCTTACGTGGTGAAATACTGTTTTTATAGAAGAAATTAAGTGTTAAATAA